CCTGCCTCTGCCTCCCAAATGCTGGGATTAAAGGCGTGCGCCACCAACGTGCCCGGCAGGAGGTGCTCCTAGTGGCTGCGGCTGAGGGCGTGTCCCATCAGGACCCCAAGGGCAGGCCAGTACAGAGGCCTGAATACTAACAGGCTCAGCCCTTAAGAGCACTGGCTATGCTTCCAAAGGGCCTGGGTTTGATACCTAGCACCCACCTGGAGGCTCACAACTGTCTGAAGTTCAGTTCCAGGAGATACAATGTCCTCTGTGTGCACCAGACAGGCAAGTAGTGCCCAGACATAAATACAGGCAAAACACCGATACCCATAAAGCTTTTTTAATTAAGATTTAATTGAAAAGCTGAGTGTGGTGGTGCACACACCTTTCATCTCAACACTTAGGAGGCAGTGTCGGGCAGATCTCTGAGTTCAAGGCTAGCCTGGTGTACAGAGTGAGTTCCAGGACAACACAGAGAAAACCTGTCTCAAAAAACAAAATGAAAACTAGGAAAAGAGGCGGGAATATAGCTTAGTGGTAGAGTGTTCGCCTATCACACACAAAACCCTGGATTCAATCCCTGATTTAAGAAAAAAAAAATCACTCCTCCCAGGAAATCCATTAACACACACACACACACACACACACACACACACACACACACGAGCGTGGTCCTGAGTCTCTCTTTGGGATCCACTGTCTTCTATTGTTCCCCTGAGTGTTTTTCTCCTGACTGGGAGAGCCACTCCCATCTCCTTCCCCTTCGCATCTACCCACCTATTCCCTCACCACCCCCCATCTCTGTGCTCCCCTGGGGGAGTCCTCTTGAGTCCCACAAGGTCATTGCCAGGAAGACCTCAGACAGGTTCAAACCAAGGAGACCTGTTCTGGTCATCCACAAACTTGACAGAGCTGATGAAGCCGCGTCTGCTCTCAGTGAAAACTTACACCGCTGTCCTAGAGATTTGCCACTTTGTGCTTCCAGAACAGGGATGTGGGTTTTGTTGTTGGTTTGCTTTAAACAGCGTTTATATGTTGGTTGGGTGTGCCTGCCCTCAAGTGCATATGCACATAACAGTCAAAGTACAGCTTGTAGGAGTCACTGCTCTGTCACGTGCTTGTCCTCAGGTTGTCAGGCTTAGTGACAGATACCCTTACCCACTGAGCTATAGCTTCCTGGCCGGCAGCAATGTTTTGGTTTGGTTTCTGCCATCTCAATCTCTCTTTCTGTACGTGGCCTGAGCATTTAACAAATCTTCACTGGGGGCTGGAGAGATGGCTCAGAGGTTAAGAGCACTGACTGCTCTTCCAGAGGTCCTGAGTTCAATTCCCAGCAACCACATGGTGGCTCACAACCATCCGTTATGAGACCTGGTGCCCTCTTCTGGTGTGCAGATATACATGGAAGCAGAATGTTGTATACATAATAAATAAATAAAATCCTTTAAAAAAAAATCTTCACTGGACACTTGCTCTGTGCCCAGCACTCAGGAGATACTACAGACCACGAAAAGATAACCTTAGCATGGATGCTCAGGGGCCCAAGTCCAGGTTGGGGCAGGAAGAGGGTCCAGGTTTGGGAGGGGGAGGTTACAGGAGGCAACTGTCTGGAACTCCAGTTAGAAGGGTATCTCTAACACCTGGCCTCTTCACGCAATACACGCTTGTGGTACAGATACATATGAAAGGTTCAGGCCCTGCCCCCTGACAATGATCAGGGCATGCGTAAGAAAACGTGCTACGTCATCGCCACGTCACCCGTCACCCATGAGGACTCTGCACATGCATGGAACCTCAGTCCACAAGTGCAGTCTTCCCTTTAAAAGCTCCAACTTTCCTGCCACTCTCTCTCTCTCTCTCTCTCTCTCTCTCTCTCTCTCTCACCTACAAGCTCTCCCTGCCTCTCTATGGCGATCGGCCGTGGCGGTCAGCCATTACCCCTGTTCCTCTTTCCTTAGTCTCCCCACTCTGCCGGGCCCATATAATAACATGTCTCATGTCTCAGCATTTCTCTTTTCTTCTTTTTAAACAAAAGAATAACAATATATGCAGGCAAAACAATCATACACATACAATTACAATAAATAAATATAGGATTAAGTCGGGTGGTGGTGGCACACACCTGTAATCCCAGCACTCGGGAGGCAGAGGCAGTCGGATCTCTGTGAGTTCGAGGCCAGCCTGGTCTACAGAGCGAAAGTGCCAGGATAGGCTCCAAAGCTACACAGAAACTCTGTCTCAAAAAAACAAAACAAAAAAAGAAAAAGAAAAAGAAAAAGAAAATGAAAGAAAGAAGGAAGGAAGGAAGGAGAGAAAGAGAAAGAAAGAAAGAAAGAAAATGATGACAACAAAAAAATATCCAGGCTGGGTTTGGCATTGAACAAAGTAATCCCAGCACTTGTGTGGTGGCTTGAAGGAGGATCAGAAACTCAAGGTCAAGTACGTATGAGAATAGAGTTCTAGGGCTGTAGAGGTAGTTCAGTGAGTAAAGGCACTTGCCACCAAGCCTGACGACCTGAGTTGGATCCTTAGCTCTCACGTGGTCGGACTCCCTCAAATTGTCCTCTGACCTCTACATGCCTGTTATGGTACACATAAACCCAACATAAACAAATACAATATTTTAAAAATAAGTAGGAAGTTCCTGAGCTATGGGAGAGACACTGACTCAGAAGCAAAATCAAAGAGATGGTTCCATGATTGAGAGCCCCTGTTGCTCTTGCACAGGGTCCAGGTTAGGTTCCCACATCCTACATGGTAACTCATAACTATCAATAACTCTAACCCCAGGGGATCTGATGCCTTCTCACTTCGGCTGGCACCAGGCATGTACATGGTGCACATACATACATTCCAATAAAATGCTCACATAAAACTTAAAAAAAAAAAAGCAAAACCAGGGGCTGGAGAGAGGGCTCAGCATTTAAAAGCACAGCATTACACACCTGTCTGTAACTCCAGTTCCAGGGCTTCTGAGACCCTCACACACACATGCAGGCAAAACACAAAAACACATACAATAATAAAAAAAAAAAGCAAAACCACCTGGATGGCGATGGTGCCTCAAGCCTTTAATCCCAGCACTTGGTAGGCAGAGGCAAGTGGATCTCTGAGGCCAGCTTGGTCTACAGAGTGAGTTCCAGTACAGCCAGGCAGTCAGGGCTACACAGAGAAACCGTGACTCAAAAAGTATAAAAAAAAGAAAAAGAAAGCGAGAGAGAGAAAGAGAGAGAGAGAGGGAGGGAGGGAGGGAGGGAGAGAGCGAGAGAGAGAGAGAGAGAGAGAGAGAGAAAGAAAGAAAGAAAGAAAGAAACCACAGATTCAGAGTCTTGCAGTCTCACTGCTGAGAGCTTGCTATGGACTTGCCTTGCTTTGGACTCTTTAGATCAGGTAAACTCTTTAGAGCAGGTAAGTCCCATATTTATTTCTTAGAAGGTATTAGAAAGAGTTTAGAAACACTGATAGCAAGCCAGACAAGATGGTGAATGCCTAAATCCTAGCGCTTGAAGACTAAAACAGGAGGGTAGAGAATGCCAGGGTAGCTTAGGCTACATGCATAGCAAGAGCCTGTTTCAGGAAACAAACAAAAAAATGTCTGGAGAGGTAGCTCAGAAGTAGAGTGAGTGCTTTGGAACTAGGTCG